CCAGTTAACTTTAATCTTGAAAAATTTAAACGCAATGTCAATCGTTATCTACTGTCCTCCTGATTGTTTTTTTTTCTCTTCCTCTTCATTACCCTGTAACCACAACCATTTGTGTTTTAGAGGCTGTACTGCTTTGCTTGGGGAGACACTGATTAAAAAAATGTGTTGATAATTATATTCATATATCCTTTTTTTATTTATTGATTGAAACGTAACATTTTTATGGACGAGGACGAATTTTCAAATTTATAAGAAAAGCGTTTCGAGTCGAAACGTTATTTTGTTAATTTTTTTTTTTTTACTATTGACTCAGATCAAAATAGTCAATTTTTTTCAATTATATATTAATATATTATTTATCTTTTAAATATTTTTATCAATAATAATAATAAGTGTTCTAATATATTTGATGATAATATTATACTTATATTATTTTCTTATCTGTTTGGTTTCTAAACTAATAATAATGTGTTACTATTTACTCTGACACCCAGTGTAAACTATATATGTATATATGCGTGTATGTTTCTTTGTGCGTACCTCTGATGGTCGCTGCTTTTCGCAGTGAAAGGAGATTTTAAGGCCCATTGTCTCTGAGAGCGATGGCGTCGGGAGTTCTAAACTATTGTGAAGGATACCCTTGGCGGCAAGGTTGATGACGAGGATCCAGACAAATTGCGACGAACCTCAAAGACCCCAACGTTGCAACAAGCAGATGACGATTACAATAGATCTCAACAGTTGAGCTAGCGAATGAAAAGGGCTACGCATGACGGATATACTGCAATAGGCGCTAATCGAAATTATATCAGAATCAGCGCTAGTGACATAACTGGATTCTGCATTTCATATGTGCCGCAGAGGAAGGTCATGAAATCAAAAGTGTGAGTCCTTTCGTGGGAAGCTGAGATCTACCTCAAACAAATTCAAGACAACGTCACTTTCTTCTACACTGATTTTCTTTCATCTCCAACCAACTCTTGGAAAGCCAAATGACGACAGGGAATGGATGACGGTAGCAGGTTTTTGTGAAACTGGCAGCTTCTAGTCCTGAACCTGCATATTGACGATGCATGTAGTCATCAGCATCATCATCGTAATGGAAGCGATCAGCAAAGAAGAATTACAATTATCGGAAACGAGATAAGGCCAACAACGATCTATCTATCTATCTATCTATCTATCTATCTATCTATCTATCTATCTATCAGACTGTTCATATCTATCTATCTATCTATCTATCTATCTATCTATCTATCTATCTATCTATCTCAGACTATTCATATCTATCTATCTATCTATCTATCTATCAGACTGTTCATATCTATCTATCTATCTATCTATCTATCAATCTATGCTTACTCTGATTCTGTCTGTATATCTATCTATGTTTACTATGATTCTATCTGTCTATAATTGCTCTGATTCTATCTATCTATCTATCTATCTATCTATGGAGGAATGTAGTTTTAATGTGTGCCACATTCATGGGATAAAGTGCTCAATATCAGAGATAGAGCTTATGTAAATATAAAAGTGAACATTGAAGTCAACACTCAGAGGCGACAGGCTGTTTCATGCTAGACGCAATCCCCAGGCCTGTCACCTCTGAGTGTTGACTTCATTGTTCATTCTATCTATCTATCTATCTATCTATCTATATATATATATATATATATATATATATGCAAAAATTAAATAAAAATTTAATCATAGGACCTTGTCAGTCGTTTTTAATGAAATTAAAGAGGGATGACAGCCCAATTACGGAATTATATATATACATATACATACATACATACATAAATAAGTGACAGGTCTCAAAGAGTGTGAGTTCAATACCCGGTTAAGGCGGTGAAGAACTTTCATAGGGAAATTAACAGGAGATAACTGATAACTGACATCCATTAAAACATGGTATGTGGAACTAGAACAGTCTAACCCCACTGACCGAAATAAAGGGTCCAGTTCAGACATTCCAACCACTTGAAGAAGGCAGGGTGCGTACAGCGGCCGAAACTTTTTAATAAATATGGGGATAAAGAAGACGACAATAATCCGACTAATGTAAATAGTCCTGCATAAAGAACGGGATAAAAAGACATTTTTGAACATCGTAGTTGATAGGAAAGCAAGAAGTTATGAGAAAGTTTCACAGACATGAAATGTGAGAGAGGAAAATATTAAAAAAGTACTTACGGTTACATCTAACAATTTTAACTGTCAAATGATAAAACCTCGTCGTCAATCCTGTACTAAGCTTAAACTCATAAAGCTAATTAAGAGTCCCTTTGAGCAACGACGAAGTTTTAGAGAAAATGGATACAAAAAGGATACTTATATTTACTATCAGGAAGAGACCGTAGAATTTTCTGATGAATGAGGGCTTGGAAAATTTGATGCTCACAGGACAGATGGGTATGGCGATAAACTACTTACGGTAGCAAGGCCTCTGACCGGCAGGTTTTAAAAAGCGTGGAACCACTTCTTATTTGATGTTGTTCCGTGGTTTACTCTGATCAGGGGTGGTAGCACCTGTTAGGGTCTCAGCTATGCAAAAATACTGAAGCCCCAAACTGGCATCAAAACACTATGAAAATGTAAAAATAGATACTTATAGTGGAAATACAAACAATAGATTTCTGAAAATAAAAATAATACCTATAATAGATTTTTGAAAAAAAAAAAATAATATTAACAGCAATACATTTGACTCACGCGAAAAAGCTTCTTTACCAAAATACGTCAATTAAAACTGATTACGTTTCGGTTGTTATACGTCTCAAACTTCTTCAGGATCTGTCTATTTTTCTGGGATGAGGCATTGTAACTATTTACATTGTTCGGATTGTTGTCCTCATCTTTATTGCCATATTCATACAAACCTCTCATAAAAATCTTGTCGGCATTAAATAACCCATTAAGGTGTCAATATGCCGTCAGACAAAATGAAATAAGAGAAGAGATTAACGGCAAGTGTGGCAGAGGAAAACAACGCATAACCTACCAAGCAGGCTTGAGTAAATGGATGACGGAACGAGTTTTAGGAGCTATAACAATTAAATAAAATTTATTAAGAAAGGACGGCTTGGAAAATTTGATGCTCACAGGACAGGTTGAGGACAAAAGCAACCGAGGGAAACAGCGAATAACACACTTCTGGGGTTTAAATAAATGAATCACGAAACAGGGTTTAGTAGATTTAACAAAAGTATCAAGTTTATTAAGAGCTACAAAGGACATGAAATTGTGGAGAGCCGTGGTCGCCAATATCCTAAAGGGATATGGCATATAGAAGAAGTGTGTCTATATTTCTGAGATGAGGTATTTTAATTATTTACATTTTTCGGACTATTGTCCTCATCTTTATTGTCATATTCAGGACGTTTCGGTCGTCATACGCTCCGACCTTCATTAAGTGACTGGAATTTCGAACTAAACCATTTTTTTCTACCCACATGGGTAGATTTTTTTAGTTCCTCGTAACATGCCTCTTCCAGATGTCTCAATTATCTCCCTTTAATTCCACACTGCAATTTTGAGTTCATCATTGCTGTAACAAGAAATTGAACTCACAAATATTTGTATCAAGTTACTGTAACTAATCAACGTTTCTATTCCCTGGGCCATGAAATAAAGTGGTCAGTTCGATATTCAATCAACTGAAGAAAGTCGAAGCGTACAATGGCCGAAACATCGTGAATATGGCAATAAAGATGAGGACAACAATCCGAACAATGTAAATAGTTACAATGCCACATGTCAGAAAAAAAGACAGATCCTGAAGAAGGTTGAGACCTATAACAACCGAAACGTCGTGAATATGACAATAAAGATGTGGACAACAGTCCGAGCAATGTAAATAGTGTAAATAGTTACAATGCCTCATCTCAGAAAAAATTGATAAATCCTGAAGAAGGTCGGAGTGCACAACGACCGAAATGTCGGGAATATGGCAATAAAGATGAGGACAACAGTTCAAACATTGTAAATAGTATAAATAGTTACAATACCTCATCTCTGAAAAATAGACAGATCCTGAAGAAGGCCGGAGCGTACAATGGCCGAAACGTCGTGAATATGGCAATAAAGATGAGGACAACAGTTCAAACATTGTAAATAGTATAAATAGTTACAATACATCATGTCAGAAAAATAGACAGATCCTGAAGAAGACCGGAGCGTACAATAAAATGGCCGAAACGTAAATGAATATGGCAATACCTCATCTCTGAAAAATAGACAGATCCTGAAGAGGACAACAAGTTCGAACAATGAACAAAACAAGTAAATGTAAATAGTTACAATACAATCATCTCTGAAAAATAGACAGATCCTGAAGAAGACCGGAGCGTACAATACAATGGCGTGAATAAATAAAGATGAGGAAACGTTCGAACAATGAATATGGCAATACCTCATCTCTGAAAAATAAAGATGAAGGACAAATGTTCGAAAAATGGCAATAAAATGTGGACAATAGTTCAAAAATAAAGTATAAATAGTTACAATACATCATGTCAGAAAAATAGACAGATCCTGAAGAAGACCGGAGCGTAGAGTGGCCGAAACGTCGTGAATATGACAATAAAGATGTGGACAACAGTCCGAGCAATGTAAATAGTGTAAATAGTTACAATGCCTCATCTCAGAAAAAATTGATAAATCCTGAAGAAGGTCGGAGTGCACAACGACCGAAATGTCGTGAATATGGCAATAAAGATAAGGAAAACAGTCCGAACAATGTAAATATGGTAAATAGAAAATGTGATTGCATTTTCTTTTGTCCAATCTTCTATTTCCTTTTTTTCAGATGGCTGTATTTTATCGCACTGCTTAAATTTCGTAACTCTATTAAAATCATTAAGTGAATACGTTTAAAGACAGCATGCCCGTTTTATGCCTTCATCACTACTTGCTTCAAACATTAATACCGTACAAAACGATTTTGTTTCTACACAAGCAGAGTGAATGCCAAACTACAATTTCGTTCCCCACCCTTAATCTTCTTTGCTAATTCTAACGCGAAGAAAGAAGAGACTAAATAGTTTGACAGGCACTCCACGTCTCAGGCGTTGTCGAAGCGTGCGATATTTACGACTCTGACAAACGGGTTCTTTTCTGTTCACATAGGATCAGCTTAGAATTTACAATGGGGAGATTTTAAACTGGATGGACTTAAAATTAAATCGTAAATCACTTGAGCTCTTCTTTGGCTCTGGTTAGCAGACTGTATGCGTGACATATATGGCCATGCATTTTGGTGCGACACGCAAGTCTTATGACGAAAGCCGGACATATGTGTTCAGTCGCTCAAGAATGATTAAATGCAAGTATCGCAAGACTATCGCTTTGAGCGCCTGTTCGGAACGAGACTATGATGTGGTAATCTCGTCACCATCACGTAATCCTCGTACAGACAGTGTTTAAAACTTTTATAAAGAATCATTCCGGTATTGATAATTATTAAAATTACGTAGGCCCTGACAGCGGGGCCTTGAATTCCCCTACTCCTACACTATAGAGAGAAAATACTTCCCTGAAAAAGTATCCGATATGGACGACCATTATTTACCTAACGGCTCAAGTATAAATAGGCAACTATATACTTGACGTGAAAGAAATTAGGGGCTTTACAAACTTCTGCTTTCTCAAGCTATGCATCCCAAATCAAAGTACTCCGGATCCAGTCCTGCAGCTCGGAACGATTGCTCTTAAGCATAAACATTCAGTGGTAGATTCTTAACATTTTTTTTTCACGTATTCGCCTTTAAATCAGACAACCATTCATTTGTTGAGCCCGACCAAAAATAAAGCCATGTGCTCAGTCATAACCCCGAATAATGTTTGTCTTTTTGATAAAACCACGTTTACCTTTCGATTCAGTTGCATATCCGATTGATCCAAATCTTTAGTCTAAAGTATAAAGTCGAGCAATGTTTACCATTTGTCTCAAGTATTAAATCTGTTCACTGTGTATCTTTGACTCGATCAATATTTTCGACTCAATCATAAACAAGATCAATATTTTCCTTGAGGCTAAGGCATGAACCCAAATAATATTTACTTTTTTTTTATTCAAGTTTTAATCTGGATAATAATTGCCTATAGACTCAAGTTTAAATCCGACCAGTGCTTACCTTTAGACTCAAATATAAACCCAACCAGTAGTTAAGAACTTGAAATTAATATGAAAGAATTACTAGTCAAAATTTAATAATGGTTGACAATAAATCACCTCAAAAAGTCAAGATGATATTTCTACTAATAATACTTTGAAATGAAGTTGGAATTAAAATGAAAAAACATTGATAAAAAAAAAAAACATTATTTACATTATTCGGACTATTGTACTCATCTTTGTCACCATATTTATTACAACGTTTCGGCCGTTGTACGTTCCGGCCTTCTTCAGGTGGTTGGAATGTCGAACTGAACCCCTTATTTCGCTCACTGGGGTAGACTGTCCTAGTTCCACGTGCCATGTTAATGGATGTCAGTTATCTCCGGTTAATTTCCCTCTGAAAGTTCTCCACTGCTTTGACCAGGTATTGAACACATGCTCTTTGGGGTGGATAACTAATAATATTTATCACTGGATCCTCAAGAACACATGGCAAGTGGATTTGTAATAAATATGGCGGCGACAAAGATGTGTAAATAATTACATACCTCATCTCAGAAATGTAGACAGACACTGAAAAGGGCCGAAACGTTGTAATAAAACTTAAAGATGGCGAATAATGTAAATAGTGACATAATACCTCATCTCAGTAGACAGACACTGAAAGGCCGAAACGTTGTAATAAATATGGCGACAAAGATGACGTCAATAATCATAATACCTCATCTCAGAAATGTAGACAGACACTGAAAGGCCGAAACGTTGTAATAAATATGGCGGCAAAGATGAGGTCAATAATCCGAATAATGTAAATAGTGTACATAATACCTCATCTCAGAATGTAGACAGACATCCGAAACGTTGTAATAAATATGGCGACAAAGACAGACAATAGTCCGAATAATGTAAATAGTGCCATAATACCTCATCTCGTTGTGAACAGACACTGAAAGGCCGAAACGTTGTAATAAATATGGCGACAAAGATGAGGTCAATAATCCGAATAATGTAAATAGTGTACATAATACCTCATCTCAGAATTGTAGACAGACACTGAAAGGCCGAAACGTTGTAATAAATATGGCGGCAAAGATGATCGAATAATAAATAATGTCAATAATACCTCGAATAATGTAAACTGAAAGCCGAAACGTTGTAATAAATGTACATAATACCGAATCATCTCATAAACTCATCATGTAGACAGACACTGAAAGGCCGAAACGTTGTAATAAATATGGCGGCAAAGATGAGGTCAATAATCCGAATAATGTAAATAGTGTACATAATACCTCATCTCAGAAATGTAGACAGACACTGAAAGGCCGAAACGTTGTAATAAATATGGCGGCAAAGATGAGGTCAATAATCCGAATAATGTAAATAGTGTACATAATACCTCATCTCAGAAATGTAGACAGACACTGAAACAAACGTTGTAATAAAATGGCGGCAAAAAGGGCAAAACGTAAATGTAAACATAAATCATGGCGACAAAGATGAAAGGACAATAAATCCAAAGATGAGGGACAATAATGAATAAATAAATAGTGTACATAATACCTCATCTCAGAATTGTAGACAGACACTGAAATGGGACAAAGATGAAACGTTGTAATAATAAATATGGCGGCAAAGAAAAGGTCAATAATCCGAATAATGTAAATAGTGTACATAATACCTCATCTCAGAAATGTAGACAGACACTGAAAGCCCGAAACGTTGTAATAAATATGGCGGCAAATATGAGGTCAATAATCGAATAATGTAAATAGTGTACATAATAACTCATCTCAGAATTGTAGACAGACACTGAAAGGCTGAAACGTTGTAATAAATATGGCGGCGGCAAAGATGAGGACAATAGTTCGTTGAATAAATGTAAATAGTGTAACATAATACCTCATCTCAGAAATGTAGACAGACACTGAAAGGCCGAAACGTTGTAATAAATATGGCGGCAAAAACGTACATAATACCTCATCTCTGTAACAAATGAAAGGCCGAAACGTTGCGACAAAGATGAGGACAATAGTCCGAATAATGTAAATAGTGTACATAATACCTCATCTCAGACAAACTGTGACAGACACTGACAAAAAAGGCCGTAAAACGTTGTAATAAATATGGCGACAAAGATGAGGTCAATAATCCGAATAATGTAAATAGTGTACATAATACCTCATCTCAGAATTGTAGACAGACAATGAAAGGCCAATGAAAGGCCGAAACGTTGTAATAAATATGGCGAGGCCAAAGATGAGGACAATAGTCCGAATAATGTAAATAGTGTACATAATACCTCATCTCAGAATTGTAGACAGACACTGAAAGGCCGAAACGTTGTAATAAATATGGCGGCAAAGATGAGGTCAATAATCCGAATAATGTAAATAGTGTACATAATACCTCATCTCAGAAATGTAGACAAACACTGAAAGGCCGAAACTTTGTAATAAATATGGCGGCAAAGATGATGTCACTAATCCGAATAATGTAAATAGTGTACATTATACCTCATCTCAGACATATAGTAAAAAGAAATACGATAAAAATAATCATTGGAAATACTTAACCTATAAAATGTTCATTATATTCCTATTACTAATATTATGTGGCATCCGAGAGACCATGGATATGCTGCCCAAAATGTTACGTTTTTCAGCTCCTTATGGCGGCGCATCGTCTGTTAATATTAATACTAATAATAAGGAGGCCGAGATCTATTCCTACTTGAACTCTAAAATTTGCATCAATCGGTTTGAAAGAATAGCTCACCAAAACCAATGACCTTCTACAAATAGTAAAGCACCGTATCCGCTTCATCAACAAAGATGCTGCACTCTTCAAGAAACAATTAATCTACCTGGAACCCTACCAACAAAAAAGCGAAACGAATACAATCTACGCCAGACGAGTAAAACAGAAAGCAAAATAACTTGGCAAAATTAAATTACAAAAGAAAAATACTGGCAGGACAAAGTGTTGCATGGCAAATACGTAAAATGAACGAAAGGAGAAGATGTGGAGCAACAAAAAACGCAGAAGTGATTGAGGAGTACCGGTTTGAAAGTTGATACAGAAGGCTTAATTGTGCAGCTCACGACCAAAGCCTTACAACCAGATCCTATCACCGTCACATAATAAATAATAGAACGAACCCGAAATGCAAGTTTACGAAAAATATGATGAGACTGTCGACCGTATTATCTCAGGATGTCCGGAAATATCAAAATTGAATATACCCACAGACATAACAAGGTAGTGAAGTATGTACACTGGAAGATATGCAAGAAGCACAAAATCGAAACCACTGAGTGATGGATGAGCACCAACCGGACACAGTTACCCAAAATAACGATGTAACTATCCTCTGGGATATGCCAATTCAAACTGACAGGAAATAAAAGCTAACAGACCTGATATTATCATCAAAGACAAGAAATTCAGGAAGTGTATGCTTATTGACATAGCAGTACTATCTGAGAGAAACACCTCCATGAAAATTATCGAGAAATTGACAAAATACAAGGACCTGGAGATGTAGGGAATGACGACTCAGCCTGTACAAATAGTAATCAGAGCTCTGGGCCTCGTGAGAAAAGGAATGGATGATTTTACTAACAAGTCCCAGGTTACATCAACATACAAGTTTCCCGGAAAATCACCCTATTCGGAACATTCCATGCACTAAGAAAAGTGCTATCAATTAAATGACAATTCTCCTATAGGGACTAAGGACCATAATTTGGACCCGGCTCTACAGGATACAAAGAAGAAAACAAAATACACAAATAATAATAATAATAATAATAATAATAAGAAGAAGAAGAAGAAGAAGAAGAAGAAGAAGAAGAAAATCTCGAAAATGTGTCACGTAAGAACATCAAAAATCCCTGTTGTAATTGGATCCTCGGATTGATTGGAAAGGATTCCAATAAACCCATTGAAGTAATTCCTGGTTTTCAAAGCCTTAAAGAAGTACAAAAAATTGTTCTCACGAGTACCGCCCACACGTTAGGAAGGGTTTTATCTATGCAAAATATGTGTGTTTATATTTTTTTTTATTGCCCAGTGGAAAATGTCATGATACCATTTCTAAACTTAGATCTGTGACCGGAACCCGGAAAGAAATGCGTACACACCAGAAATCAAAAGAAATAAAATAATAATAATAATAATAATAATAATAATAAGAGTGGAAAATGCAATTGAAATTAAAATGAATGAAATGCTAGTCAAAAATTTATAATGGTTGACAAAAATTCATCAAATAAAATATTCAAGATAATATTACTATAACTAATACTATTAGTAGAAATAAAGTAATTGAAATCATGATGAAAGACATGCTAGCCAAAAAAGAATAATGGACTACAATTTTTAAAGATCTTGGAAAAATGGTCAGTTCGTCATATCTTTTCAAACCAAGTGATTGTTGCTGACCATGTCCGGACTAGAGCTGCCCAGTCCTCACTGTTAGAGGATTTGTCTGTTAAACAAAACCTACTAAAAAATAGTTCAAACAAATGTTTGAGTTAAAGATAAGTTAGTGGCATAAGCATACAACAAAGACAGACGACACGAGCCAAGTTTAAGAACATACGAAATTTTTATTCTTCATAACACAAAAAAAGAAATGTTAGACAGAGTGCATCACTGGAAAATACGAAAACTTAAGGAAGTAGCACATATTCTAGGCCACAAATGTCTCCTGAGCTGCCCAAGCGTTGATATGAACATAATATAGGAACCAGTAATACGGAGTGTTAGAGAAAAGCAATTAATAACAACAAAATTGTAATATGAGCTCTGGTAAAAATTGTTACTGAGACATTAAGTTTATAAGTCTTAAAAATGCATACACTGATATCCTCCAGCACACATGGCCCAGTGGATAAAAGCGCTGGTTCGATCCAGGGACTTGACCCAAAGAGTTGTTACTTGATTACTGCAGTGGTGAACAAGAACTTGGAAAACAAGGCAGATAACTGAGACATCTGGAAGAGGCATGGCACGTGGAATTAGAACAATCTATCCTGGTAGACGAAATAAAGAGTTCAGTTCGAAATTTCAATCCCCTAAAAAAGGCTGGGGTGTACAGTGGCTGAAACGTCCTGAATATGGCGATAAATATGAGGACAACAGTCCGAATAATGGAAATAATGAATTTACACAAATTAATACTTTGTGTGCCAAAAGATTGCTGGTCTCTCGTTACTCTGCAGCTATTACTGTGACAGAAGTTCAAACGAGCTACATTCCTTAGTTCTACCAATTAAGACCTTCACAGCTCGGATCCACCATGACGTGTCCACAGCGTCAAATCATCTTAATTTCCATCGTATTCCTTTGGTAAGAAGTAAGTTCCGCTCGGATGGCTACTCCGATCACTACAATCTTGACTTCTTCAAGTCTAGAATCAAACGATATATATCCGACATAACGTCACAATATACATTTTTAGCACTATCACTCAGCAAACCTCTACCTTGAGTGGCTCTTGGGCCTTGCATTGAGTGAACTAAAAGAACAAAAAGAATTAAAAATAAATAAAGCTTCAACATAAAGTATTTACTAGTGATACTGCTTCTTTCAAATTAAAACTGACAGAAATACACTTCAAAATTAATAATAGATTACGCTCACATCACACTGAAACACCACTTCCCGTACGATCACCAAAGTCAAGCAACGTCGAGCCTGCTCAGTATCTACATGGGTGACCGCTTCGGAATAACAGGTGCTGTAATTTTGAATGTACGGGTGGCATAGCTTACAGCCATTTCACACTGAAACACCGCTTCCGTACAATTACCAAAGTCAAGCAACGTCGAGCCTGGTCATTACCTAGATGGGTGACCGCTTGGGAATACCAGGTGCTGTAAGCTTGGGTGTGGGGGTGGTGTAATGGATAATGGTTTTGGAATTCTTAATCGAAGAGCCGATTTCCAATTTCACTTGGGTTCATTATATCCACTTGCACCCAAATACCCTTGGGAAAGATATGAATTCACTACTTCTCCCCAGCTATGGATTAAATAGTAAAGCTAGTATCACTAAAATCATCATTATTTCCATAAACATGAATAATTCCGTACAAAATATTTAGATTTCGGTATTAAATAAATCATAGAAATCTAGATGCTGCTAAACAAAATCAACCCAGGAACAAGAAAACATTTATAACAGTTTAAATACAGGGTGTTTCAAAAAATTTGATATCCTTTGAGATGTAAATATCACATAAAGTACATGATTAAGGCAAATGAAATTAAAAAGCATTAATGTTGAAGATCATAAGATTTATTCTTCCAAATCTGAATGAGAAATTCAAAAGCATGTGGATTATGTGAACGATTTCACAAATGTGAATTTTGTGGTCGTCCGGATCCTTTTGTTCTGCACAGACAGACTTCCTCTTTGAGCTTTTTATGCTATCTCCAAATCTGCATTCCTGTTGGTGACTTTCTAGAGAACTCTCTCATAAATGCACGCTGCACAGTCTTGTTTGACTGTGTTCTAGCAAACTCAACACACAAAACGACTTTTCTCTTCTAGTAAATAGCATTTTTTATACCAGTAAAGAAAAAAGATTAAAGATTAAAGAACATAAAAATACAAATAAGAAAAACACAAAAACATAAAGACATAAAAAACATAAAACAAACATTAAACATAAAGATGCTATTAAAATTTGAAGTCATTTGAAGGAGATCTAACAAAGTTATTAGATTGCGAAATGATATCAATTTTTTTGAAACACCCTGTACATTACTAATTAAAGTTCAAGTTAAGATTAAAACAAATAATACACCTATTGAAAATAAAACAGTCGAAACGTTGAAAGATATTCTTATCCAAAATGTGAAAATTTAAAAAAAATGTTCTTTGTTTGCAACTCTACAGTTGTATTTCGAGACTTGAAAGCAATTTAGGGCTTTAGATCCTTCTTTTTTCTCAAGCTATACATCCTTACTCAAAGCAGTCCGGCGCCAGCTCTGCAGTTCCGACCAATTGTTCTTAAGCATAAACATTCAATGGTAGATTTTTTTAACGACTTTCTTTTCAAGTATTCGCCTTTAAATCGACTAAACTTCATAGACAACAATTCATTCGTCGACCCCTACCAAAAATAGAAGCTAAGATGTGCCGAATCGTGTGAAGATCTAGAAACGTATCTGTCACTCTTGAAACTCAGCTTAAATACACAAAGGCATTAAGCTTGTCTAGTCAGATTCTCGTTTCGTTACCTAAAGTATTCTGCCAGACTTATATCCATATCTTTGTTGTGTTAAATCTTGGTATTAAATATTGATATGCTGGCATGGATTTGTCGGGCAAATATTTCCGTCTTTTATCCGTGAGTTTCACAGTCGTTACGTGATTATTATTTCATGAAATCTTTCAGCTCTACGCATCATCATTTTTATGTTAAGTTCTGATCATTTGTCATTCATTTCGTGCAATATACAGAATTTTATCAGCCTTTTCTTGCATCTAAGTGCTGAGGCACAACAAGAGTATTCGTTGCTTTGTTAGTTAGAACGTACGTTATGTCCTGACAATACATCATCAAAAATGGATGTATTCTCCGCGAGAAAGAAAAAAGAAAGAAAGAAAAAGAGAGGAAGAAAAGAAAGAAAGAATGAAAGAATAAAAAGAAAGAGAATAAAAAGGAAAGAGTAAAAGAAAGAAAGAAACAGATAAAAAAAACTAGAAAAATAAAGCGAAAAAGAAAGAAAGAAAAATAGAAAGAGAAAAAGAAAAAAGAGAAAGAAAATGAGGAAAAGAGAAAAAGAACGAAAAAATAAAAAAGAAAGAAAGAAAAAGAGAAACAGAAAGAACTAGAAAAAGAAAGAGAGAAAAAAAGAAAGAAAGAGAAAAAAGGAAGAGAAAAAGAAAGAATGAAAGGGAAAAGAGAATAAGACAAATGGAATGCGAAAAAGCAAGAAAGAGATAAAGAAAGAAACAAAGAGAAAATGAATGAATGAGAAAAGAAAAGAAAAAAGAACGAAAGGAAGAAAAAGAAAATGAAAGAAAGTAAGAAAGATAGAAAAAAAAGAAAGAGTAAATAAAAGAGAAAAAGAAAGAAAACTAAAAAAAGAAAGAAAGAGACAAAGAAAGAAAAAAGAAAGTAATAAAGAGTAAATGAAAGAAAGGGAAGACAAATGAAATGATAACACAGAAATATATATATATATATATATATATATATATATATATATATATATATATATTAATTATTTAAAAATATGATTCCAACTCGCGACATAAGAGGTCTCATGTTTCAAAACTAAGAAACTTTGGATTATTTACCTAACCAGTTCCTTCCTATTTTTATATATTTTCACATATATATATATATATATATATATATATATATATATATATATATATATATATACGACTTATTTTTTTCAATCAAAGACCACAGTACAGTATCTGTTCTGTTAATTTTCTTTCTGATCTATAATATCATTCTAATTGTTTGTATATACAACCGTAACGTTTATTATAGATTCAGTCCTTATATCATAAATGCTGACGGCGCGTCGAAGTCTGGAAATTGTTAAGGGAATTTGTTTGGTTGATTATTACGACCAAGAAGTAAAACATAGAGAGGGGCGTAAGAACATGGGTGTGTCTTTTCATTAGATTTATTCAACCTATGCAGCGAGATAATTCTGAGAGAGTTAGAAGTTCAACTAGGATTTATTATTAGCAGCCACAATCTTAACAGTATATGCAGTTGACACATTGCTGATAGCAGACACAGAAAGGTCAATACAAAAGTTTCTACAGAACGTAGCGAAGGAAAGCGAGAAGAAAAGACTACCGTATATTCTGGCTGACAAGACGCTGCGGCTTGGAAGACGCACCCTAATATTGAAAAGTAATTTCTAAAAAATGAAAGTCATTCTCATACAACATATTCACCATACGTCCCTCACATACTGGCTCCACGTATTGATTACATTAATCACTCGTTCGATTTTGTTTATATGGCAATGTTATACTAGTCAAGAGCAGAAAGGCTCCCGTTGCTGCTAGTAAACAGAGTATATTTAAGCCTGTGGCTCGGCTCCAGGAAGGTTTATAGTCTTGGAAATACTTGTAACAGCTAAGTACTGAGGCTACATCATGTAAATGGCTGAATGAGATAAACAGCTAACATTATAGCTTAATGACTCAACAAATTCACGTCCCTATGATTCGTCCAAGCTTACTTGAGCATGGGCTTTGCCTTACATTTGTCTCGGAAGACACACACGTATTTTTCAGGGTAGTTTTTTGGAGAAAAAAAAGTGCGTCTTGTAAGCCGGAATATACCGTAATAGAAGCTCTTGAATAGAACCGTTTTCTCTTATTATTTTTTTAAAGTTTGTAGTCATGTACGTTGGCTTGGAGAAAAAGTATTTATTTCCTTTAGGAAAGAAAATATTTGAAAATCGTTATGTAATTCTTCTTGTCTTCATGAACAAGGTCTTATAAAAGTTAACAATTTATCAAACGTATTAGTCAAACATAGAAATAAGTTCAACTACAACTTTGATCTAATGAATGTCACACTTATTAAAAGAGAAAGTATTTTACCTACAGAGAAAACACTTAAACGATGGCTCAGGATTTTTTTCAAATGTCTCTCCCGATTTTTTTCAAATGTCTCTCCCGATTTTTTTCAAATATCTCCTTCCCTATACAGAGCATTAATTAATTTCTCAAATTCAAATAATATGCTTAAATAATGAACAGAAGAAAGTTTCTCTGATCGCTACAATCTTAACGAGTTCGAGTCTAGAGTTAACCGTTATCTTTTAAGCCTATACATATAAACTACCCTTTGATGTAACACTACCTCGGGTGACCCTTGGGCCTTGTACAGGGTGAACCTTGCCGTAAAATGAAAAAAATAAACCTCAACTACGAGAATAACAATTTTATTACCAGAGGACGAAACGCGTCGGCTAAGAATTTTTTTTATTTATATTGTTTTTTATACTTTTTTATTAAATGTTACATACACTCAAAAGCGCACACGCACACGTACACGTACATACATACGTACATATGTATCTATGTATCTCTCTTTCTCTCTCCCTCTCCCCCCCCTCTCTCTCTCTCTCTCTATATATATATATATATATATATATATATATATATATATATACATGCATGTATGTATGCTCAGATATTTCCTGGCTTATATTTTGGCGTACCTTTATTTATATTGTCATTTAACAGATATAATTTTAGTTATATCTGAATTGTCACACAGACTAAAACACACACACGTACGTTTGCATCTATCTATCTATCTATCTATCTATCTCTCTCTCTCTCTCTCTCTCTCTCTATATATATATATATATATATATATATATATATATATATATATTCATGAATTATTCACACAAAAACAAATGCAAAGGTTAATGATTTAATTGGCGAGAAATCCATCGTCGCAAACAATTCAAATAATATACAAAAACCTCCGAATCCGTTATGAATTAAATATATATATTATAAATTAATTGATTTAAAATATGTTTTTTTCGCTACACAGTTCTAACCATGTTTCAAAAATGGAAGCTAAACGCCACGAATTTAATTTTATCAGGTCATTTTTAAATTAAAGACATTAGTTCATCCTCAAGCGAATTTTTTATCTATAAGAACACTGGATTATATATCCTGCTGTTCTTTTTTTATATATATATATATATATATATATATATATATATATATAGAGAGAGAGAGAGAGAGAGAGAGAGAGAAATAATTTGTAACGAAGTAAATCTATGTTTTTTAAGGTTTTATTGAAATTTTAAGTTTCCACATGTCCTCCATCATTAGCAATACAAAGGGTAATACGATTTTGCAGTTCACAGAAAACATTTGCCAACTAATTTACAGTAATGCCTGAAATCACATTAGTTATTTTAGATATACTTAAAACTAGGTACATTAAACTTTATAACATTTTTGACAGATTATTTCTATCGCAAAGACAAATAAAGAACTTTATGGACAACATATATATATATATATATATATATATATATATATATATATATGTATTCCCAGATATTTCATCCTTGGCGTATATTTTGGCGTATCTTTATTTATATTGTCTTTTAACAGATGTACTTTTTGTTATATCTGAATTGTCACACACACTCAAACCTGCACACGCACATACGTACGCACATTTGTATGTATGTATGTATATATGTATCTTTCTATGCGTCTAGTAAGACGGAATATACGTTAAGTGTATACTACAAGAAGACCTGAATGCATAGATATTAGTAAAAGGCTGTACCCAAAATGCAAATTAAAAATCGTGAATACGAAAATCAAAAAATACAGAAATTTAAATATCTGGGACGTGTTCTGACAGAGGACGGAAAGTGCAACACAGAGACCCGAAGACATATTTTGATGGCGAAAGTTGTATTCCAAAAGGTAGGCAGAGCTAGACAGAAAAATTTCATTAGAAACAAAGAAAAGGGTACTTAACTACTACGCGATATCTCTGACAGCGAATGCTGGACAATCTCCTCAAAGATAAAGAAGACACTCAAAGCAACAGAAATGTGGTTCTAAAGAAGGATGCCAAGGATACCATGTGATCAAGGACGAGGTTTTAGAAACAAAGAGGAAACTTATAATTAACATCAGGAAGAGGAAGCTGGAATTTCTGGGGACGTAATGAGGAAAGAGGGTTTGGAAAATATGATACTCACAGGACAGATACATGATGAGCTTGAGCAAATGGATGATGGAACAGGGTTTGGGAGAAATTACAAAAAGACAAAACTTATTAAGAGCTACAAGGGACAGGAAGATGTGAAGGGCCATGATCGCCTATGTCCTGAACGGACACGGCACATGAAAGAAGTAATTCATTCGATAATAACTGGATGCCCCAACAACTTATACGTAATAAAATCAACTAATCTATTTTTTGTGATGTCGACGAACACTCGTTGGCACTTTTGTGATGTCAACGAATACTCGTTATCACTTTCGTAATGCTCGTTGTAGTATAGACTTTGTAAGCGCAGATACAACTATAGTAACGCCGTTGAACAATACCGGTGTCAGACGCCTTCGAATAATCTCGCATTAATAGTACTTGCTTGATAATACACGCTCAAAAAGTAACCCTCCCTATAAGGATCTGAAATCGTATAGTGAATAGAGTAGAGAATAACGGTCCGTATAGTAAGAGAGGATAGAATAGAAATAGCGATCCGAGTAGTAAAAGAGGATAGACTAGAAATGGCGATCAATTAGACGCCAAGCTAATTCCTACTTATGCGTTTCCTCTATGATCACGTGTTCTACATAATTCAACAATGGGATCGCCTGCGTTTGCTCACTGGCGATCTATGTTCAAACTCAAGGGCCGGCAGAGACATTTTATTCCTATATAACTCAGCATCGATTAATGGCTAGCGAGAATAGACTTGTTGATTATTGTTACTATATAGTGATTTTCATTGATTTAACGTATGCAAAATAGTTTGATGTTATACAACCGAGAGTATATGCCAATGTTGAATCCCAGAATCATAGAAGAATAATCCAAAAGCTATTCTGGTAGCAAAACGCCTGTATACAGATAAAATTTGTATTTCTATTCTATGAACTTCATATATATATATATATATATATATATATATATATATATATATATATATATATATATATATATATATATATATATATATAAGTGAGATAGAAAGATAGACAAATAGATATATATAAATATATACGCGCAAACACACACACACACACACACACTCACACACACACACACACACACACACATATATATATATATATATATATATATATATATATATATATGTATATAGTTGAATAGATATGAGTTTGTGACCGTCATTTTTACGCAGATAAGATAATCGCAGAAACTCATATCCATTCAATTAAATATATTATGTATATCCCTGATATTGAGAGCTTTCAATAAGCACCACACATATATAAAATATATATATATATATATATATATATATATATATATACACACACACATACATATATATATATATATATATATATAT